CCATTTCCTTGCTTGCAGTAGCTCAGCACAAGTGCATTATGTCCTTTTCTAGAGCATCTGACAATTTTTCCCTGTTATGCAGGATATTTTTCATCCTCAGTCCAGCAGTTCTGTGCTTTTTATGGAAAGATCAACTTCCTTGTTCCTCACCTATTACTAGGGCTGTGTGAAACTTCAGGTGCTGATTCGATATGGAGGAGATTTGGCCTGATTCGGTGGCCAAATCTCCAAATCCAAATCAAACAGGAGACAAATAAAAAGGTCCAAATTGATTCAAAGCTCTCCAACTCTTCAGAAAAGATTTGGAGAGCTTTGGCAATTCAGGCAGTCCCCGCCCACTGCATCAGGGACCTGGACCTGGATGTGGAGCTGGTAAGTAGGGGCGGGGGGAAGCGGGGGCTGGAGGAAGGGAGTGGGGACCATGGGAGGACCCCTGCCAGGCCCCATCCACAGCCTGTGCCCTCAGCCATGCTCCCCACCAGCTGCTTTGCCTTCCCCAGCTCCCAGGGCTTTAAAAAAAAGTCCCTACTCACCGGGTGCTGCTGGGGGAAGGCTATCCTTGCTACCCTCCACTGCCCCATGCTCTTCATGAGCCCCCTGCCCTCCCATGGCTTCCCCACCCAGCCCAGCTCTGGCCCTTTAAGAAAAAAATGAAAAAAACCTCGGAATTCACCAGCTCCTTCAGTGAGTCTGGGGTTGGGGGGGGGGGGTTCCCTAAATAGCCGGAGGGGGGGGGGGGGGGGGTTCCCTAAAGAGCCGGAGCTGGGGCCAGTGGGGCAGCTATGAGGGGTGGCTAAGACAGCGGGGGGGTCAGAGGGGCTCGTGCAGCAGCACCTGGTGAGTCAGGCCTTTTTTTTCCAAAGTGCCAGGAGCTGGGGCGAGTGGAGCAGGCATTGTGGGGCTGAGAGAGCAGAGTGGGGAGAGGGGAGGGGCCTGAGTGATTCAGACATTCAGCACATTCAGCTGAATCGATTCAGGACAGTGATTCAAATCACTGAATTGAATCACTGTCCCCCGAATTGTCCAAATCCGAAATGGATACTAGCCGCTTCACACAGGCCTACCCGTAACTACCTGAGAAACAGATTTTGTCTGTGTTTTCTGTAACAGTAACAAGATCCCTGTTTGGCCTTTTAAAATCACTAGTGGCCTGTACATGTGCTCGTTCACATTCTAGTTAGAATGCTCTAGCATTGTCTACCTGTCATGTATATTAAGCCCCTGCACATTTTTAAATGCCTGAGGGGGTGCTTTATCTAAACTTCATTGAATAAGCTTTAGATAAAGCATCCCACGGCTGTTTTAAAACATACGGTGGCTTGATACATGTGACAGTGAGCTGTTTTAATTGGAGTGACTGTCCAGGAACCAGTCTAATTAAAACATCCCCCACCCCTAAGCACATGTATAGGCAGCCATTGATCCAATCTACTTCTTTACTATAGGTTCTCTCAGGTCTAAAATGCCATGTTTGATATCTTCGATTACAGTTATTACCCTTCTCCCTTAGTGCCTCCTTGTCTACCCAGGATCCCTTGAATGACAGGCAGAACTGTGGCAGGGCACTTTTGGGTGCCTGCCACTTTAAGGCTGGGAACAGGCAGCCGGCAAGTGTGGGCCAGCCCTGAGGAGGTGATCTATTTTAGATCTTGGCCCATAGGGCAGAGGCAGCAGTCTGCTGCTGGCAGCCGAAAGAACAACACCCAATTGAGCTGCTGCTCGGAACATCCTTGGGGGTAAGGGCAGGAGCTATGGGGATTGCAGGAGGCTCCTGGTCCTGGGTATGACTAAAACCTACACCCTGCTGGGGAAGGATGTAGAGTAGGGGAGCACAAGCTATCCAAAAGGCAGCGTATGCAGTGCCAGCACGAGAGTAGTTAAGCCTGATGGCCCAAAGGGGTCGTTCAAGGGAGCAGAGCAGGTTGAGAGTAGCCTAGTGAGGGGCAGTGTGCCAGAGGCCTGTGAGAGAGGGTGCAGTGGAAGAGGCCCCAGTGAAATAGGGGCAGTATGAATGTGGCCCTGAAAGGGGCAGTGTGTGAGAGGTCCAACTGTGGACTGAGATTTGCCCGGACTTACTATAGAGATGTAATAATAATCTGGATGTCATTTAAAAGGTATGGGACACAATAAAGGGATGTCAGAGTTATGTATAGCACCCCCTGGCTTCGGGGCATTAAAATGGACAGCCTCCCACATTTTACACCAGTTTGATAAACAGCAAGTTGTGACAGGAGAGACTGGGTGGACTGCCCCATACAGACAGGTGGGCGGGCTGATGCTGAGACCTGGCCCTGAGTTGGCCCCCTGTCACAACAAGCTTCTAAGTTTTTTAGCGAAACCATCCCTGCTTTGCCACACTGTGAGGGGTTTTTTTTAACTTTAAGTGAGATACTTCTAGCACTAAAAAGTGAAGGAAATAAGAGATTGTAAAGTAGTTGTCCCATACACGTCCTTAAATCAGGTCTGAAGTCAAACGGCTCTGAGTTGAAGATTGCTATTGATGAATTTCCTCCCATGCTCAGAAGACTAGGAGTCTTGGAATGGCAGAAATTAGAGAGGCAATATCTAGCATTCTCCATCTTTACTCCCCATTAGACCATTTTTCCTTCTCGTCTCTTTCTCATTTCTCTCTCGTTTTCTTGCGACTTGTTGGCTTCTTTCTCTTAAAGGAAATGAGTCCCCTTGAACAGTGAAAAACATGAAAATGTGTGATCATTCTCTACACTTCTCATAGCTTTAGTCCAGGTTTGAGTAAATAGTTGTAAATTCTTCTGTGGCATATTGTAAGGACAGGAGGCTGTATTGTACACACAGTAAAATCACTGGAAGATGGTTGCACATACAAATGTGGGTCTGATGCCAGGAAAACTTCTGGTCCACCTCTGAACCTGTTCTCCGTTCTCTCATGTAGCCACATAAGAGATCCCTGTTTGTCCCCCTTGTTTGTTAAGATCATTGATGTAGTTTTCATTCCTAATGTTTTGTCCTCACAGTTTTTGAATGCTGTAAACCAGGGGGTTCCCAACATTTATGTGCCCAAGGGTACACTCAGATTTAAAAGAAAAAGCAGCGGGCACCCATATGAATGGGGTGAACTAAATGGGGTGAATGAACTAAACTAAGTTTAGTTTCTACTAAACTTAGAAACTAAATACTAAGTTTAGTATTTAGAATCCTGGATATGCTCATTAGGGATGTGCAAAGCGGGCCCTATTCTATTCAGATTCAGCCCGAACTGGGGACAGTGATTCGATTAGTTGATTTGGATCACTGTCCCTGATTCGATTCGGCCGAATCCAAATCTGAAGATTCGATGCCGATTCAGAGAATCAGCGATTCGGCCACAGACAGAGCTTTAAAAGTTTTTTTTGCTCCTGTGGGGCGCTTCATGCATCCCAGCATTGCAGTGTTCACACGCATGCTGGTACTCCAGAAGTACTTCCGGTCCACTTCTGGATCCACCAGGGAGTGTGCTGGGGGGCCCTGCACCCTTCCAGCTCAACGATCAGCCAAGGGGTGACCCCAGGTGCCCCCCCAGACCCAGGAGGTACCAGTTGCCAAGCCAGGGAGGGCATGGGGGTGCTCCCCAGCGCGCTTCTCGGCAGACCCAGAAGTGGACCAGCAGTTCTTCTGATCCACTTCCAGGTCTGTTGCCAAGTGCACTAGGGAGCCCCCTGTGCTTCTGTGGGACGCTCCATGTGCCCCAGCATCACAGTGATCACGAGCCACCTGCTACCTAGAGATATGTAGAAAAAACATTTAAAGCCATCTCTATGTCCAAATCGCTGAATCTTTCTTAATCTCTTTGAATCAATTTGGAGGGCTCTGATTCGATTTGGAGAGATTGAAGGGTCCTCTGATTGGATTTGGATATTTGGCCACCGAATCGGGCCGACTCTCTGCTGAATCGAATCAGAGACCAAAGCTTCACACAACTCTTACGCGCGTGCACATAGTTTTGTTTGGGGAGGAAGCAGTAAGCGCCACTCTGTCACTGCATCAGTCAGACTGACTCAGGTTCGTTTTGGCAGCCACTGCATACAGCCTGTGCAAAAAATTTTGAAGTGTTGCTGTTCTGATTTCAATCAGCAGTGACAGCATTTTTTGTTGGAATAATGATTTTTACTGATTGTGAAAATGCGCGTGGGCACCTGAATAAACCTCGGGGGGCGCTATGGTGCCCGTGGGCACCGTGGTGGGAACTGCTGCTGTAAACAATGTAATGTGAATATAGTTTATGATTATTACCATGAGGTAAGTGCTTGCCAGAGGTAAGGTAACTTGGGTGATTATGCTGTGCGCACAGGGTTGCAAAAGACTGGATTAAACAAGGACATCTGAATAGTATAAGCTCTTGCTTGAGACAACTTGTGTTGATTAGACCTCTAGGATAAGAGGGACGTGGTGGCAACAAGGATTTCTCCCCTGGATCTCAGGAGTTTGGAATTCACTTCCTCCTCATGCTTGAAATGCCTCAAGTTTGATAGTTTCTATGGCATAATACCAGCCTCATCCTTTCTTTCCTTTATATAAAAAGGCAGGCGTTGGGTATGTCTTGGGTTATCAGTGGGTTGAAACTCAAGCAAGGTCTCAGTGGGTGGTTGATTTAATTCTTGTGAGGTTTTTCTGTGGGTGTTTTGAATTCATTGGGGTCCCTGGTGGGCCTGCCAGTGATCTGCCAAGGGCACCAAAAATACCTTTTTCTTATAGATTGCAAGTCTCTAAATGAACAAGTTTCTGGAAAGCTCAAAAGGAAGCATTTCTAAGTCAGATACTACATTGTTCCCAAAGACCATGCCGGGTCTTTTCACTCTTGTGTTATGACCTACTCAGCTGTTAGAATTTAATTAGTAGTAATATATTTTTGTCAAAGTAATTAAAGCTTTGCCTTGATTAAAAATGGAATTGTTTAATTAAAAAGAATAGGTTTGGCTAACCTTAGCTTTCTGCCTGAGTAAGACATCCTGTATCAGCTAATTTCCTATATCTTTCCCCTTCAGGCTTGAAGGTTCGAGAGGTGTTCATCAATGTGACAAGGCAGCAAGTGGAGGATTTTCACGGGCCAGAAGATTACTGGTGTCAGTGCGTCGCATGGAGTCATCTAGGGACCTCAAAGAGCAGGAAGGCATCAGTCCGCATAGCCTGTAAGTGGAAGAAATGTTTGTTACTTAACTTTTGGAAGATGTTGAAATAAGCTCTTCTGTCAGGGTTAAAAGTAGCTGAATACTGGGAAGGCTTGTTGTCATAGCTAGGACTTCCTATGAGATACTGCAGGATCATCAGGGAAAACATACCATACTTGTTCCAACACTGCCTTGTCGGAGCTCCGTTATATTTTAATGTGGATTGATGATTTTCTTTGAAGTACACTCAGCAAGTCTCTTTCTCTCAGATTCCGCTTGGATTGCATACACGCAGGTGTCACAACAATGCAGTGCAATAAAAAAAGGTTAATGCAGATTGAAAGCCTACTGGAACATGCCCTCTTGCTCTGCTGATGACAAGGGTCTGAAGACATCTGCAGAATCATTTAACAAAGTATATCTGCTGCATTTTACTGAAAATATGCAAGCGTACATTAGAGGCTTTTGTCCTACTCCTGTCAATGAGCTTTTAAATATTGAAGCACATTATTTGTTATGAGTACTGATGTGGGGGAAGCAGGATGAGAACAGGAAAAAGGGGTGATTTTTTTTCATTACACAATCAGCAGGGGAAGTGGGGGGAAAAACATAATAAAATGCAATAAAACTGTCACTTTAGGAACCAAGACCAAGATTCGGGCTTTAACATGTCATAGGTTTTAGATTGCAAGTAGCTGATGATGTAAAAGCCCCCTTTTGGAATACTTTTACAATTTTTGCAATCTCCTATGCCTGATAAAGAGTGTGGTGTATGCCTGTGCTTGAAAGCTCGCAAATAATTTAATATATTATTAACATACATGGCAGTGAGATGATTTGTTTCTGCAAATATCTAGTTGGTCTATTAAAAGATATCACCTCTGGCATGAGTTTTGAAATCAGGCATAAGAGCCAGCAACCTGTCAGAGCTAACTGAGAGGGAGCTTGAGAGGGAGTGCTTTGCTAAGAAAGCCATCTCTGTTAACGCAGGGCATTGAATCTGGTGGGCTGGTGCTAGATCTCTTTGGTGTCTCTGTTCTGTACCTTGTGGGAGGTGCTGCCAGTCAGAGTGCTGCAGCATGGTATTACAGGGTAGCGAAGCCACAGGCATCCACTGAGCTGCAAGCCTGCTCGCCTCTTCCCACAGCTGAGCCCAGCTAGGGGAGATAACTGCCTCAGGCTAGAGCAGTGTTTCTCAACCTGTGGGTCATGACCCAAAAGTGGGTTGCAAGAATATATGAAAGGATCACAAGTTTTACATTTTTAAAATTCATCAAGTTTCCAGGTTGTAGCCATATTGGTCTGGAGGCAAAAGGAATTGGGACTCGTGGCTAGATTTTTGTAAAAGAAATGCTTTGATTGCAAGCTTTCGGGAACAAACACCCTTCTTCAGGCATAGAAAAGAAGATTGTAAAAGTTGCCCTGGGTAGAAATGAAAGCTCATTGCTCGTAGGAGAGTTGAAGGTGTAGTAAAATCTCCTGTTTGGAACAGTTTATTTTACATGCAGATTAGGCTCAGAGGAAAGTTGGAATAGTCTGTTGACCTCGAAGTTGTGTAGTGGTAAGCAGGATGTATTCATATTTCCTCGTGGTTATGCTGTTTCATATTTCACAGAGGAGTAAAAAGATGGCATGCTCTTCTGGGCAGGCATTTCTTACGTGGCAAGGTGTCTCTAAGCTCTCCGATGACCTGTGATAATGCTAATTACTTCGGACAAAGGCAGGAACAAGGTCTCAGGCTTCAGGTGGTCAAACTTGCTTCCTTCTTGTAAAATTTATGAAGATTTCATTTTAAAAATTGGCTAAAATACAAATTCAGGTATGCAGGTTCAAAAATGGATCCACACACTTTCAAAGATTCTCCTGTAACGGAGAAAAATGTGGGAAACTATGGCTATTTCCTTTCAGGTTGACAGAGGTCCAGCCTGCCAGGGGCTGCTTGGAGACCCCCATGCCCCACACACTGAGGGGCAGGCTGGAGGTCAGGAGTGTTGGGGCACTAGGTTAGGAGTGGCCATTGATGTTTGCAAACAGGTCCTGGTACAAAAAGGTTGAGAAGCACTGGGCTAGAGGAGCCTGGCAGCTACCGAGCACTGGAAGGCAGAAAAGAAGGAATGCTCTGGGGAAGAAAGGAGTGCCCCTCGGGGGGGCGCGAAGGGGTGGGTGGGTGCTAGGTCTGCTCTGTACCTTGTGGCAGGCACTGCCAGCTCGGCTGTGCTGGAAGCTCTTGTGGAGCATAAAGGCCTGCTTCATTCTTCCCACAGCTGATTCCAGTTAGAGGTCAGAGCTGCCTCAGGCTGCACAAGCCTAATTGCTGCTGGGAGCCAGCTGGTGGAGCAGCTTGAGGCAGAGCTGGGTGTGATAGTGGCTGTGGTTGTGGGGTTGGGGTTTTTTTTTGGCGGGGGGGGTTCTGTATACTTTCCTGCTGGAATCTTTTTGGCCCAACTGAACAGGACGGGCATCAATGCTACTGCTGTGACGTAGATAACGAGTTGCCTGAAAGGGAGACTACAACAGATTATGCTCACCGGTTACTTTCCACGGGGAAACACGAAGAAGCATAGGTGATGTTTGTGCCTTCCTTTGGGAGAGAGAACATGTTCTTCATCTTAGGATCTTCTGAGAATACATTAACCAGCTACAGTTGATGCCTTAAGACTGTAGCAGGGTTGCCAAGTGTTTGGAAGGAAGCTGGGCAGCCAGAGTTTGGTAGAAGGGCAGAGCAGAGTAGTGCCACTGTCTGTGTGGGACAGCAGCACCCTGCAGGAAGCCTTCCCTCCTCCTCGAGTCTTGTCCTCTTGCTGCTCTTCATAGATGTTGGGGATCTCACAAGGTCATCATTGCTGCATCCAGTCCTGTAATATTGCAGGGTTGTAGGTAGGTTTCTTTGGGGGTCCATGCCAGGACTCGGGGAATGGGGCCAGTGGGGTTAAGGTTGGAGGGTGGGCTGGGTGAGGCAGCATGGGGCAGGGTGCAGTAAGGGGCATCAAGGTGTTGGGGCAGCATGGTGGAAAACCATTGCTGCAGCCAAGCGGTATTGCCCACCCCAAAATTATTTTCTTCACTAGAAACCCTTTACTTTATAAGGCAGATGCTTCTTCAGCCTGATGAAGGGTACTTGTGCCTGAAAGCTTGCAAAGATTTTTTTTCCAGCTATTTGAGTTGGTCTAATAAAGGATATCTGATTGACCCAAAGAACTTTGTCTACTTTACAACCAAACATTTTTACCTTTTTTACTGTACTTGGTGATAAATACCCAAATTTGAACCGAGCCCTTCTAACTTGTGGCCTGGCATTCTCGCCAGAAACATTTGGTGCTGGCTGCAGCCAAGGGTGGGGATTGTGACTGGGGTGTGCCAATGCTCCTGCTGGGACTTAAATCCAGATGATCCTGGCTAGAGGGTCATGTCTTTCTGCTCGGGGTGAAACTAATTGCCATATTTGGGGTCAGGAAGGAATTTTACCCCATAGATTGTAGAGGGTAGAGTAGTTCCTGGGTAGTTTAGTCCTCTTCATGGGATCTCTCAAGCATATTTTAACAACTTCTGCTGCAGCAGGATGTTGGGTGCCGTTGTCCCCCAGTTTTACTTGTGATAGATTAGGGTGTTACATCTTGTGGTTATGTCAAGGTCGACTATGTAGTTTTGTTAGGAAGTTAAAAAATAGGTGTGTATAAGGATGGTTTGGATAGGGAGAATCCTGCCTGAGGCAGGAGGTTGGACTAGATGACTCCAAGAGGTCCCTTCCAACCCCACTTCTCTGTGATTTTGTGGTGTCAGGGTAGGGCCTGGCAGAAGAGTTGTTTTGAAATTATGTAAAATATATATTAGTAAAAACATGTATCAGTAAAAGAGTTTATTACTAACAAGTTGCAGATGATCAATAAAAACCAACCCTGGGCTGTGGTGATAAACGAGTGCCCTTGTCTCTCCTGCTTTTATTTGTGGCATGTTGTAAGATGTTCTTTGTGGTTCTGGTATGGAGCCTTATGACCGTGTGTGAAGATCTGAATTGGTGATTTCAGTTTGGAGCGATGATTTGTGGATTTCTTGGGGGGAAAAAAAAAACAAAAGACTGTCTGCACACGTAGGGAGACCGGACATGATGTCACAGGAAGCCTCTTCCAATCTTTTTGTCCCCAGCACAGGTCAGTATAAGAGTAAGAATATTTATCCTAGCCATATGCTGTTAACTGTAACTGCTGTTAAGCCAGGTCAGGCGGTTTGAACCTTTCACTGAAATTTATTCTATAGCGATTTAGGAATAACTTAATCTTCCTTCATGTCGCAAGGGGAGGCTATTCCTTATGTTGCTCTATGTTTTGCTCCTAGCTTATACAATGAGGCAATAGCTCTCAAGGTCAGGCCATGTACTGCACATAAAATAATAATAATAAAATGCCTAGCTCAGCACATGTTTCCTATGTTGGAGGACATTGCAAAAAGGATCAACAGCTCTTATATTGTAATAAAATCAGTAGCAAGTCTCTTTTTGAGTAACTATACTGCAAAATACTGCTCTTGGGATGCAGTTAACACCATGGTTGTGAATCCTGCTAACTTGCCAACGAAGCTGAATGCTGCATGCTAAACATGCATTGCAAATGTTTGAGCGCTTCAGACATTTTGCTCCTATTTTTCACAAAAAAATGTGAATAATTCCAACATTTTTCCTGAAAAAATTGTCTTTTCTTAATTTGCTTTTAAAAATCTGTATAGTGCGGCATTTCTGTTGTTTGCAAAGATCTACTGTATGCTTGTTGTTTGCCTAACATGGGTTCGAAAGGAAGCCTGATGAGAAAAGAAGCCAAGTGAGCAAAGCATCGGAGGTGTAGTTCTTGGAAGCTCACCAAATAGGGCCAAATCCATCCCCTCGTGTGTTGCAGATACAGCTACAAGGGCTGACAAGTGTTAATTATTCAATGACAGCTATTGTACTATACTTTGTGCATGAATTGTGCTAAATCCATTCAAGTGGTTACTTTTGGGGGGGGCGAGGTCATCTCTTCTGGCACGGAAGAAACATAACTCTAGAAAAGGTTGTTTCACTCCTATATTTTTAATATACTTGGGAGAAGGGGTAGTACTTTTTCCTAGACAGGGGAACTATGTATTTCGGTCCAAACCCGTCCCTGCTGCTTGTATCAGAAATGGTGTACTGCAGTGTTATCGCTCACAATCAGCAGAACATTATGTCAAGGAAGGAGAAGGTGGAAAATGCAATAAACACAACATGGCAGGAAGGGGGACACATCAATAGGAAAGAACCCAAATATGATTGTTATAATATAGAGTTTTATGAGACAGTAGAAATACACTAAGCTTCATCCAATTTTTACCTTGCAATTAGATCTACTGCGTTGTTCTTGTGGAAGAGGAATCTGAGTGATGCTTTGCAGCAGCCGTGCTAGCAGAGGCTTCAGGAAATTACTTCTCCTTACTCTCTTGTGATCCCAGTATTTTGTTTCCTTTTAAATCACTAGCTCTAGTTATTATATTTGGTGAAATATGCTGCAGAGGAGAAAAAAGTAAACAAATATTGCTCATCTTCATTTAGTATTTACTGCATGATGATTTTCACAGGAAACAGTGGCAAAAATATGAAGGGTTGAGTTGAGGCTTTTTTTGCTTCATTTAGTATTTATTGCATGACGATTTTCACAGGAAACAGTGGCAAAATATGAAGGGTTGAGTTGAGGCTTTTTTTATAGGTAGTGAAAGAAGGGGGGAGTGGGAACAAGAGCTGTTTGGTTCTGTTCCCAGCTCAATCACTGACTCTGACAAATTACCTGCTCCTTTCTGTATTTCAGCCTACCCATCTGTAAAATGGGCACAGTATTTCTCTTACTCAAAGGAGCACATAATGATCTCTTTTATCCAATGACCATAAACACTATACAAAATTAAGCAAGCATCATGAACTCGGAGGATACATCAAAATTTGCCTTAGTTGCACATTTCTTTTTCAGGCCAGATGAAGATTATTTTGGAACTGCTTCTACAATTATGTTGCTTTGACAGGACCAATTTAAATAAAACAGTTGGGTTAGCTAATAGGACAGCTTACCAGCCCCTTGATTTTATAAACGCCTGTGATTTTTTTGTTGGCCGATGACTTTGAATGTGTAAATTCAATTTTTATTTCACTGCATTAACTGTCATAACACTGAATGAGCTGATAATTCTCCTATATTGCTGAGCTGCAGAAGACTATTATTCTGAATTGAATTTTTATTGACTTTTCTCTGGGCTATGATTTTCCACCCTCCAAACATGGCAGCGGGAAGAGAGAGCAAGAGATGAATGGAAGCAGGACAATCCGTCTAGCTGTGTCTCCTTTTAAATACCACACCTATCATTGTAGAGAGTGATCACCTGCACACCATTCGCGTATCTGGCATAGGTAACTTCAAATGTTGGGCTAACCTAGCAGGTGCTCTCCACTGTTTTTTCCTATCCCCCCATTTCTACATTCTCTAATGTACAGACCAAAGTACAGCTTTACACTTGAGAATGGCACTGTTGAACTGGCTGTTTGCTATGATGGATTTGGACTAGTGCTTTTACAGGTATGTGGCAGAGGAGCGTAGTGCTTCCAGAAACTGGAGCATCAAAGGTGGCGGGACTCACTTCAGTTTTAGCGTAGTTCAGACAGGTGAAATGAATAGCCTGCCAGCAGGATTGTATAACACTCTCCCTGTGCTTTCAGGTACTCACTGGGCATGTCTACACGAGATGTTTGCTGTGGAGTTGCCTAATTAGCTTTGCAGTAAATGTCTTGGGCCTCGTCCCCATGAGCAGGACCATTTGTTTTGCAGTGCCTCAAAGGCATTTGAGGTGCCAGAAAATGCACATGGCAAAATTAGATACCAGGACCCCCTGCCAAAAAAAACACACATACACACACCCCACCTCTGGCATGGAGCACATGGCAGCAGCCTGTGGTGCCTGAAACCGGAGTCTGGCCAGCCAGAGCCACACTCCAACTGGTGGCCAGGCTCTGTGTGTCCAGATTGCTGTTGCTGCAGCCCTGGGAGGCCCCCAGGAGCCCAGGTAAGGCTGCTGGGGCCAGTCCAGATGCTCCCCTACCCCACTCAGGGCAATTTGCTGTGCACCAGAGCATGCATGCAGTGGCACAACTATGTTATTGCTAGTTGCTAGAAAATGCACGTGTGCTCATAGGGACATGCCCTCAGTGTCTACATGTGTAGTGCTATTAGGACAGAGTAAACTAATTAACTCCACTGGAGTTTAGTACTTGTAAACACAACTACTGTCCTACAGTGGAGTTTTTACTCTTCTGCAACACACATGTAGACACTGGGGCTGGCTGGGACACAGTCTGAGGGTTGTCTGCCAGCTAGCCCCATACTGAAATGCCCTCATGACCCAGCCAGCCCCTCTGTAACACATTGAGCTGGGTCCGAGCAGCCCTGCGCTGGCAGACTGACCCCCAGGACCTCCTGCCAGTGAGAGCTGCACTAGCCTGGCGCAACCTGCTGCGCTCCCAGATGCACGTGCAAACACAGTGCCCAGGAGCAATAAACTCTGGCATGAATTGCACTGTAGTTTATTCAGCTGCATTAATTGCATGTGTAGATACGCCCACTGTCATTGACCATTGTCAGCCCATCTCTGATGAACTGCTGAGTTGCTTAATCTGGAGCATGGCTTTTTGATTGGGGGTGGAGGGAAATATCCCCTCGGGGACCACAGATGAGAATGTGAAGGTCTAATTTGTGATAGCGGACAAAACCCTACTATTTTATTCCAGGGCTGGCTTACAGCACCTGTTATTACATTGTCTTTTGTGGCCTTCTTCTGCACTTGGAGCCTGCAGTCTGAATCATAAGTTTTAAGCACTACAGCAATTTATACTTCCCTGCAATCACAAGTAACTATTGTTTTACAGTAGCCTAGAAGTCAGAGAACCAAAACATGTATGTTGCTCCCCTTCCTCCACCAAGAAAAGTCCTTGTGGATACCATGTAGTCTAAATATTAATGAAAAACTCTTTAAATAGGGCACTGGATAAAGTAATTGTTACCTCCATGAAAGCAACTGACTTTAACAGGGCATCATAGGAAGGATCATACTGATGCTATTTGCATCTTTCTCCAGTGAGTAGGTGGCTTGCTGAAATAAGTTTTAATGTATTTACAAAATGTATAGAAGTGTAACTGAGTCGGGGCCTCCTCTATTTAAGGGGATGTATTTCATGAAGTTGTAAGCACTGGAGAAAATTAAATCAATAAATCCACAATGTGCAATTTGAGACATTCTGTTTGAAGAAAATGACTTTGTCTAAAGGAAGCATCCTTACTCAAAGCACATGTTGTAAATAAGCAGCTTTCTGTTCGGTCTCCCTAGTGCTCACAGGGCAGCAAGGCATGTATTATGGGGTACATAATCATTGGCATTTGGGAATCGCCATGGGAAAGGGATACTTTCCCAAGGCTGAAGTCAGTGGGAGAGCCTCTTCTGGGAGGCTGCTCCAGTCGAATTAAGCGGATTAGTGTCCTCTGTACCATAGGGAGGAAGCACTGGAGGAAATTCACTGTCCATCTGAAAATCTCTTGGGAGAAGAAATGAAGCAGTGCTGTCCCAAGACTGTGGAAAGGATAATCTAGCCAAATGGAGTAGTCTGGTTAGAATACAAGAGGTGGATGTATAATTTGGGAGGTGTGTGCAGAAATTTGGGAGGTGTGTGCAGAAACTTGAGATTTCTAACCACCTCCCTGTGCTTTGTTTCTAATTGCAGGGGTGTAGGTTGTAGCCGTGTTGGTCTTAGGACAAGGGCAGACAAGGTTCCTTGGGTGAATTTGATATCTTTTATTAGACCAAGCCAAATAGTTGGAGAATAGTTATTAAGCAAGCTTTCGGGTTCAAAATTGTGCATTCGGGTTTTTAATTGTGCATTTATTGTCGAGTGTCCATGGGATCTTTGGGTGCTGGATATTTTAGAAGTAAATATGTTGTGTGTTAGCTAGTCCAGTCTAACATGAGGATAGCTAATGATGGAAAAGGAGTTTTAATAAATCATACGACCACAAAATGCAGAGCACCTTCAATTAATATATTTAAAAATAATACCCTTTTAAAATGTTAATGGTCACTAGGGACACTAAGTTCTGCTTCAGCTTTACTAATTAGCATATCTAGTTATTATTCTCCAATTTTTGAAAGCTCAAAGAAGCCCGAGAGATGGGATTCATGGTTAAGAGTGATGAGGCCCTGAGTTGCAATCCTGTTTTGCCTGTATGACTTTTGATTTGGCAAGTCACTTCTTAGTCTCAGATTCTACACCCATGGGCTAAGTAAAGTACAAACTCCCACTGATGAAGAATTAATTAGCAAACACTTCTTTTCCCCAGTGCTTTGAACATATATCCAAGGCAAGAAAATTATTAAGCATTATAATTACTGACTTTTGCAACATACTTTTGCAACACACACCGCATGAGGAACAGCGTTTGCAAAGCCTCATGTTCCAGCATTTGAGCTTTACTGCTAATTCAAATGAACGGCATTAGGAGGATAATAACCACATTAACTTTTTTTGCAGATTTACGGAAAAACTTTGAGCAAGACCCACAGGGGAAGGAGGTTCCTATTGAAGGGATGATTGTCCTGCATTGTCGGCCACCAGAGGGAGTGCCTGCTGCTGAGGTAGGATTTTATTTCTTACATCACAGGCATGACCTAATCCATTTTGAACTGGATAGAAGTATAAGTGAAACGTGGAGAGGTTGACCAGTGTCCATTCCAGGAGCGCTCGAAAATGTAGTGCCTGTTACAGTATTCTGCTCCAGGGCCACTTGAAATATTTATGGTAAGTCATTTAGCAAAGAACAGAGAATTTTGTTGCAAAATTTTACTTTGCTGATTTTTCCCCCCCATTTTTAATACATAATGAACTAAGTATTTTTCATGTTATAACCATGAATACTTGTATGTGTGAGTGTGTAGTGCTCCCCACCCCAATATTTATATTCCTAGAGAGTCCTTTTCTTGTTGAGTCATTAAAAAAAGAAAATTTAAGTTTTAGGCAATACTGATGAAGATGATAAAAAGTCCCCTGCAATTTTTTCACCTCTTCATTATCAGCAAAGTTTTACCTAGAGAGGAGAACAAGGGGGAAACTAGGTTAAAGACATCGATAGAACTGGCCTTTTCACCCTGGAGAATCCTAAGTGGATCTGCTCTTTATTATCAAATGCAGAGAATATAGTGGCCTCCATCTGAAATGGTGAAGGGTGAATGTAAAGAACTGATGGAATAATAATAATGGCAATTCTCTGCACTTTTAGCTCACTCTGGGCACTGCAAAACTCACGGAGCTCAAGGGAAAAGGTTCTCCGCAGAGCCAAAATTAGGTACTGGGAAATCCTGGTATCTAAAAAAATAAGGTGTAAAAATAAACGGGATGGCACACATGGCTGCAGTACGCACCACCCAAAATCAGAGCGTGGCCAACCAGAGCTGTGCTCTGGCTGCCAGCCAACCTCCTCATGCCTGGATGGATCGCTGCCATTGCAGCCCCGGGAGGCCCCCAGGACCCCATGTAAGGCTGCTGGGGTCAACCCAGATGCTGGCCCCCATCTCCCCTACCCCACTGGGGACAATTTGCCATAAGCCATAGCATGTGTGCAGGGGCATTCCCCAGGAATAAGCAGCAGCAGCACAACTATGTTGTGCTGTTGTTATTTGTCCCTGGGGACATGCATGTGCGTGCGCATCTGAGCGTGCCCTCTATGTTCAAACTGCTGTGCAAACAGTGACTTATTAACGAGTTGCATGCAGCAACGTAACCGAGTAAAACTGTCTGTGTTATACCTTTCTTTTTGAAGACTGTACATTTTCACCTATTCTAGACATAGTGTGTGTTCGACTGTTTGTTTTCTGTCTTGATATTATTTTATGATTTCACCATCAGAGTGAAATGGCAGGTTATTTCTGAGGTTTCTGGAGTTCTTTATTTGTCCCACAGGATGAAATCTGTAATTACTTAACTGAAAAACTGCTGATCAGAACATTTTTCTTCTCTCCTTCACCTAACCACCCACTTCCAAACTAGTAATTAGTAATGGCATGCATATCATCAGGTAAAATAGCACCCTATAAGCATGCTTTCTTTCTCTTAATTGCAGTCAATTTTATTTTATAATGTGCCACTGGTTAGGGGAAAAAATTCACATCAGGCGCAGAAGGGGAAAAGTGGCTCTATCACAATACATCATAAATATCAGTTCTGATGCTCCTCCTGCATTGATGAATTGTCAGTTTACACTATAAGGTACCTGCTTATTAAATGGACAAAAAGTAGGAAAAATAAACTGGAGTGAAGAAAAAAATGTTTTCTTATTTGCACAGAATTCATGCTGTGTGCATGACATCAAAAACACTAAAAGAGATGAAAAATGAAGCAAATTGAAATACAAGTTAAGTGCACCTTGCAGATCAGGTAAAAATGTATAAAGGGTGAGGCAGAGAGGAACATGTATCTACACACCTAGCATTCATCCTTCCATCAAGAGAATTTCTGCTACTGTATCTTCTTTGATGGGGCATCATTTTCCCCAAACCTCAGTTGTACTAGAGAAAATGGTATCGTGCTGCAGAGAACTGCCAAACGTGTTGAAATAGAAATTCTGTCCATGATTTGAAAGGCTAAATGGGCTTTCTGTGATGCACTCTACCATATTAGTAATAATGTGTATAAAATAAAATTCTAGAACATTAGGGTGTCAAGCTTTGGACATAAGCATTTATGAAACAATAGAAATTAGACATGGTGGTGGGTCAGAGGTCAGGGGCAGCCAACGCACTCCTAAATTGCATGAGCTTGTCGTTTTTATTTGGAGTAAATAAGAATGGTTCTAATCCAAGATCTAAACGTGTTCCTTTAAATATATATTTTTATTGCAGTGGGAACGAAGGACATTAGTGCTTTTCTTGGAAGATTACAGCACATTCTTTTATTATATATTACTGGCAGAATCTGCAAGCAGTGTGTTTGTCCCATACATCACTTCCCAAAGGAACTTGTTATTTACCATTAATTTCTAAAATACTTTGGTTCCTCAGTGAGCAATATATATATATATATATATATATATATATGTTAAAAAAAAATCATACAAATTTCAGACGTTTTCTTTGAAATCAAAGGAAACAAATTATTACCCACTGTTTAACTAAATACGCCCCAGCCTAGCCAGCATGATTTGCTGAACTGAACAATTATAGAAATTTGGCTATTTTCCAGTTTTCAGATAGTTAAATAGTCAAAAAACATTTTCGCTGTTGGAATTCAGTCATTTACAAGAGAGGGATTAAGAAATTATGATGATTCTGAGCCAACATGTTTTGGGTTTTACTGAGGTAATGAGAGTGAATAAGGCTTCTCCATTTGAAAACGCATACCCTAACCTGAGCAGTATAGTAATGGTTGGTAATTAATTATTCATTTTTATGTAACTGCTAGCTTATAAAACAGAATAAGCCAAATTCATCCTTGGTGTAAAGTCAGTAGGTTTGCCCATCACGTCATCTCTAGTTATTGTTAAAGCATTAAGGGAATCTGGCATGAAATTATACATTAATGCGTTTTTTTCTGACTTAAACAATTCAGAAATGTTACTATGTACAATGTTTAATTAGAATTGCATGATCCTGTATTAGACCTAAGGGCATCTTGGGGAAAAAAAAAAAAAGACGTACCTTGTAAATCAGGGCCCATCAGCATGAGACTAGTAAAATAAGGCTTTGGATGTTGGGAGGAGTGCACCTTTTCTCAGTGTAGAATAGAGAAAAGGAAGTGGGGCTGCTCTAGGGGCAGTTGTTAGTGCTGTGGTGAAGCATAGCAAAAGGAGTTAATGGTAAAAGTCTCTCTTTTCAGATCCTCTATTTTGTAGACTAGGATTTAATACTGCTGGAATTTATCACCGTTGTAAATTCATTTACTGATAAGGCATGTAGATTTGGGTGTGGGTATAATTTTTCTTAAATCAAATAGAAAACTGTGAGTTAGGCAGCTTAGTGACTATGATGACGTGACGCGCATGGCAGTGCCAAGGATTAACAATCATGAGATCGCATTAAAATCATGGTATTTTCAAACGTAATAGAATTTAGTTTCCTTAATTTTTGTCTTTTCCCATTTTCTGAAATGTTAAAGATCACATTTTCATGCTTTATCCCCACAGTCATGAGGATTTAGAAATGTTACTATTTTAATGAAAGCTGAGACACCCAAGAAGTGACATGATGCTAGAAGCAAGAGAAAAACATGAAGGCTGTTTACAGATATAACCACCCCCCCCCCAAAAAAACAAACAAACAAACAAAAACAAAACAAAAACTTGGTGCTTTACTTTAAACTCCGCACACCCTGGCATGGAGCCCAGTGCATGCCCAGAAGAGGCATTGGGTTAGTTGGACCCGGCTCACTCGACATCTATATAGATCATGTACAGCGGGGCTTTTATGGTGCTCTTATCTAATAGCTGATTGAATCAGATTTACTTAAAAGCACGAAAAAGCTTTGCTCAAACTCCTGATCTATACAGACACTGGTTCAAACTAATGTGCTGTCTCTTCCGGTAAAGTGCATTCTTTCTTTCCACACCTGTCGGTGCCCAAAACATTTTCCTATACAGGATAAAATTACAAGAATTGATGACATTGCTATAATTTCAGAGGTCAGATAGAGCCAATCCACAATTAATACTGCATTTTATAGTGTATTTTTATTTACCGTTAATTTTTCAGAGAGGCTCTAACTAAGAATAACTATTTCACCGCTTGATACGCATTGTTTTGTAGACCAAACTGATTTCAGAAAAATTCATTATTTCCAACCATGCTGCTTTACATTCAACAATTAAACGGAATATCTATTTTTCATAAAAGTTAGGATTTATGCCCAATGAAAAGCTGACATTTAAATGGTTTTCCACAGATTAAAATTGTAAAGTTCTCAATAAACCCTGATTTACTGATGTTGGTGGTAAAATTGTTATTGCTGCTAATAAAGCCTGTAAATCTTAACAGGTCATATTTGCTTTGGATAATAACATTTCACATAAAGGCTCAGTATGTAAGGCTAATTCTATTCACATCAAGGTAAACAGCCTACTTAAAATAATTCAGTGCCTTTGGAAACTGGGTACCAAATTCAAATAAATGACAGATTAGGGCCTGTGGCAACGGTGCTTGAGGCTGTAAACACATCTGTTCTCACAAGTTAAGGAGGGCCAGCCTTGTTCATTGCTTAGATGGGAAACTTCTAAGCACAGCTCGAAGCTCTCTGACTGATTTTGGAGATTGGATACTTTTGTATTTCATTCATCATTGAAGAATCTGTTTGTTTCTTATTTCAGCATGGAGAGCTTTGCCCAATTTCTGAGACTGTGTTATTTTCCAGCTAACGCAGGATGGTGTCTTAGTACTATTTCTAAAGTTAGGGCCAATAATTTCCAGGCACCAGAGTTTTCCCTGGTCTCCATGTAGTACTCTTACATTAATGATGAGGGGCTCATACAGCAGACTGGGGCAGCACAGGACTAGACAGTGTGCACACACATGAGAAGCAGGTAGTCCAGGCCCCAAAGAGCTTGCAAACTATAGGATAGGACTCCAGAGATGGATATAATACGGAGTAGCAG